GTTCCTTTTGGTCTGGACTGCGGATACTCCTCCGAGCTCAGCCCCCCTCTCGACCCGGCTTTTTTCTCTCTTCTCTTCTTTCGCTGGAACGCAAAGATCTGGCGCATAGCACGCGGGCTTGCTCTTCGTGTTTGTCCGTCAGTCAGCCGCTTTTGATTGTGATGGATTTGGGTTTTTGGCATCTTTGTGTGCTGAATACTCGTTGTCGTCTTCGTCGGCGCTGGCTGCGGGTTCTGGTTCTGGGTTTCTTCCGTTTCACTGTCCGTGCAATGTGATGCGCATCTCTGCGGTGTACTTGCATTTTAACCTTGAACACACGAGGCGACGAGGCTTGGGAGGGTCGGGCGCAGTATCCTCCGATGATGCTGAGACGAGTACACCAAAATCCGAAATGCACTAGCGCCTTAATAGGGCGTAAAAGGGTAGCAAAGGTGGCTTTGGGTTTGGATTTTGGGGTTTCAAGTCGACTCAGAACTTGGTCCTGATCTAACGGACCCGTTCTGTCGTTCCGCGTATGCCTTTCCGGCGCCTGTCTCCTTGGCCCTTGGGTTCTCCTTGGCCCTTGGGTTCTCCTTGGCCCTTGGGTTCTGGCGCCCTTTTTTCCTCCGTTGTTCTTTTCCGTTCGCAGTTCTTTTCCATTCTCTCGAACCGCGAACCCTCGCGCTTTACCCTTGCGATCAGTTATCATTCGAATTCGACTACGTGGATGAACTGCTTACTGATTATTGTCCTTTACACAGTTACTTCTCCTCAATATCACCACCATCGAACAAGTGAGTCATTCATTCCCGTCGCTTGGACTTTGTTCTCTTCGAGCGCGTTTCGAGTGTCCTTTTTTTTTCCCTTTCTATCTCCTTGCTATTCCTTATTTTCCGACTTTGTTCGTTTCTTCTTTGACGCCTTCTATTCCGTTCTTTCTATTCTTATACCCCTCTTTTACTCTTACCGGCGCTATTGGGGTCTTGACTCATATCTCGACCGGCTATGTTTCTCCGTCCTTTGTTCTCGTCCTGCCCTCTCGTTTTCTAGCACGCTCGGGGGAAGGCCAGGACAGATGGACGAGAGGAAGGGACCGCTCGATTACTATCTTTCTTTGCGAGTGGCGTGTTCTGGCTTCTCTTTCTTCTCGCTCGGGTGCCACTGCACACTCCGTTGTGTGCATGCCATCTTTGTGTTTGGGTTGTGTTACGTTTTGGAGAGTCCCGAGACGGAGTGTCGTAAAGACGTTGGTTAGGTTGGGGGTTGCTTGCTTCTCTTCTTTCCCCTATTCTCGCGTATCGATGACGAGGGATAGGGGGCACACGGTCCGCCTTGAGGCGTCGGCGTCGGCGTCATCATCGTCGACCTCTTTGCCTTCCTTCTCTCTCTTGCGCGCCTTTTCTCCTTCCCTTTTCCCTTTCCTTTCCCAACGTGGTCATTCTATTTATCCTGCGATCCTTATCGCAACCACGAAAACTGCGGACCACATAGACGCAGGGAGTAACCTCGTGCGCACCCGCTGCCGACGATCTGTCATCGACAGTGCTAATGTCATTCATCTGCCGCAGCCACCGCCGTCATTATTTTCTGCTAGGAACGTGGGTGTGGCGAGTAGACGTATCGTTTTTCTGATTTTCGTTCTTTCATGTCCGACTTTGAACGTCGTTTATGACTTGTGGTGTGGTTGATGTGTAGTGAAATGACGAAAGGCAGATGTATGGCGCTTCCGTGGATTGATCGGAGTGTGCCGTCGCTGTCGGGGTGATAGTGCGCATCTCGACGCCACACCCATGTTCATGACCTATCCACTTACCTCACCTGTCTTCTGCTTCTGCGCGTCTTTGGTTTTTCCCTGGTCCTATCACAGATGGTGACGCACCTCGTCTCGTCTCGCCTCGTCGGTTTGCGCCCCCCCCGTATGGGTGTGGTTGGAAAGGCTAATTTGACGTCTCGGAATTGGGATGTGCTGTCGAACGAAGGGGCTTGTGATGGTGTTATTTTTGTTGAGGCCGTCGTGGGTGTGTGGGTGTTTATGTGGCGACCGATACGGGGCAGTGGGACGTAATTGGCAGAAACGAATGGGAACCCGCCCGCCCCAGGGTGTGTTGGGCGGGCGTTCCTACGCTCACCGTTTCTACCCGCTTTCCTACACATTCTCGGTGTCCTCTTCTCTGGCCCCCGTAA